GGCATGCAATCTCATTCATGCTTTTTTTGCGTTATTAAACCTTAATGAACGTAACTGACGTCAGGCTCTTGCAATTACCCTTAATTATGATCCTTATTGCGTACAACTGCTAGCACACACATACACACACGCTTATTCATGAAAGATCACAAATCAAATAATTCTATATCTACTTTACCTATATATTTTCGATTTTAGTCCTGAGTATATCTATGTCATGTGGATAGAGCCGACAGGTCTTCCTTATCCTGCGCTAACTTGAAGCTTTTTTTGCCTCTGACACTATCTGCCATATGACGAATGCCAATTTTCACCTAAAACGAGGGAGAATGTCTCGTATACTGCGTTGACCTGAACATCATAGTAAAATCAAAGGACTGCTGAGCGAGGATCATCTGTTGTCATTTGCTGAGATTGCCCTACGAATCTCTTCGTCAGACACTTTCATTTGAAATGACAGTCAACCCTACGATATGGCCCCAGGAGACTCATCGAAGCCGAGTATTTCTTTTATAAACAAATTTTATCTTAGTTTTGGTTCGACCTTGTTTTCACAACTCGGTCGGAACGTCAGGGAGACCTTCTGAAGCGTACCTTGTCTCGTGTCTGCCATAATGTTCGTGCTTTCCAGCATTGGAACATTAGCTGGGTACATTCCTAAACGTTTCACTAAAATCGTCAGTGAGATGCGCCATCGTAAGCACAAGGTTACACCTTATCAAAATGACCTAATCCACTTAGTCTTTATAACAAGCATGGCTTTGAGGGCAACTTAAGTCAGTGTTAATTCACATCATTTTTTGGGGCGATTCTTATCAGCATCTTATTGTTTTCATTTTTCTATTTAACTATACTTTGCATTTGTGTTTTAATTTCCAAAACCACAGTATTCCCCCCTTGTAATTGACCTTCCAATCGTATTGCATATCCACTCTATTATTCCTTTCATCGCCTCAGGCCTACCCTCGCGCAGCAAACGTGGCTGAGGTCGCTGGTGACATCAAGTCCTCATCGACTTGTCCACTAGGCCGAGTGCCACGCATTGTCGGTCTTCCCACATCTCTCCTTGACTTAGGTGATCAGGCTGCCTCTAAACAATTAGGTGAGCTTCGCTTGCATGGCAGTCTACGTGTAGCCACACAGCTAATTGCGGCATCTACGGCAACGGCTTTCAGTCGGCACCTGATTGATGGAGATGAGACGAATAGGACAGCAGGAAGGAAAGATGGGGACGCTTCTCTTATCATAGAGGATGTTGAGGACAAACATAGCCTGGAAGAGGGAGAAATTAGTGATGAACAGGATCGGATATTCGATTTTGCCAGTGTAAACGGTAGCCGGAACAACAGTTTTCTTTCAACAAAGGTTAGCCGAAATGCTAGCTTCGACATTATGGATCTCGAGCACAGCCCGACAGAGAATAGGCCACTAGCTGTGGTTGACGAGGACTGTGTAAGCATAGCCTCAGATACGGCTAGTGTCAACAGTGAGGCTGAGCAGGCTGGGGCTTTATTGCGTAGTGTGCTGCAAGACAGTCTCGAGCTGGTGTTTGTGCAACGCCATCTCTTCCTTTACGACCGAGCCTTAGTGATTGCTGATGCCGCTCTAGAGATCAAGCCCCAGTCACCCCCAACCTCTGATGTAGATGCAAAGACGCTACCAAGAGCTGACTCGGGCGAGCTTGTTTGTCACTTCAGACACCTAATGCAACTGGACCAAATGGCTATACTAGTGAGAATCCATCTCATCTTGTTTTTTTGCCAGACTCATGGTCTTTCGCCTTTTATAATACTTTTTGACATTTTTAAAATACAGAATAATTCGTTTTGGCTCCCAGTCAACAACCGATTAACATTGACTCTGCCTCTAAATGGTTACGTAGAAGCCCCCCCATTATCTGATAGTCCAACTTCCTATTAAATTATTGAGAAATCCCCTTGTCCTTTGTCCTTGTTTTACTTCTTATCGAGTCTATTTGGTTATTTTTTGACTAAATGCTGGAATTTGAGTGATTTTAAAGTCAGGAAAAGTCTTACAATCATATTGTTATCTTTATTGTATTTAAATCATAGGTATGCAGACTCAGATAGTGTGGCTTTTTATTTAATTTAAGTTTCATTTAGCTGTATACTGTTGATTTGACCACGTTTTCGCAACCTGGTCGGAGCAACAGAGATACCTCGTAGAACTTATCTATTTCTACGTCCTCTACTCTGGTATTCACGATCATTTCTAGCATCAGACCGTTGACTTAGCACTCAATATGGTATCCTTACGCTTTCTTGAAATACTGGCATCTTTTATTCCTCCAAATTTATCAGTATATGAATTTTCTATATGTCTATCGCTATTACTAGTACTGTTATGCATATATTGACATGATTAGATTCTAGCAAGAGTAAAGAACAAAAGCTGAAATAGATCATTTGGCTATAGTGCAATATAATGTCGTTGAAATCTTATTTCATACAAAAGTGGTAAGGAAGAGCAGAAGATGTGGGCCGAGGAGCTGGGACTTTTATATGGCAAGTTGTGGGCTGCTACAACTAAGAGTTGCTGCCGAATTGTCTAAAGCCTATGTTGATAACAAAATTTAATTGCTGAGATATGAGGAATCCCTTAGGACAGTTGTTGCCAAACTTTTCCTAGTCGTGGCACCTTTTTTCAATTGAATTTTTAAATGGCGCCCTACCCTAAGTATGACTATTCGTAAGTAAGAAATAAAAATAAATAAAACTCGTGTATCCTCATTATTTTTTTTACTTTATTAACATTAAATTATATTTAATAATTAATCTGATGAATAAGCCCACCGATCACCGAACATTTTCTCAAATTGAAGCTTTTACAATATTTCGTGGTACCCCTGTAAAGAGGCCGCGGCTCCCCGGGGCGCCACAGGGCATAGTTTAGGAATTGATGCTGGCATACCTTTCGTTTCTTTTGAAAAGTCGAGTGGAGGGGACTCATAAATTGGCCTTAGGGGATACCAAATAAGGGTTGCCTACGACTTTTTACTATTGGGTTTTAAGAAGATCTTGGCTCATGGTCCCATGACCCTGATCCATCCGTGCTGAGTTTTTATGCCATGACCTACATCGTAATTTGCGTATGATAAACTTGGATAATTTTACATTGGTCTTGCAGCAAAACCACACTGCTTCTGTGGGGCAATTGTTGCCCCGTGTATTCGGACCTAACTACACGTTCGTTGGCAGACGGCCTGGGATGTAGACGCTGACTGACCGAGATCAGACAAACTTGTACTCTCGCAGGGGCATAGAGATAAGGAGCGTTGAACAGGATTAAGATACACATTTAGGGAGGCGCTTAGGTTATACGCGTTTGATATCCGGAAGGATAGCTGCTAGATCACGATGCAACACTCACAATGAGGGACCCCGTGCTGTTAGTGAGACAAACATCTGGACTTTACATCTGCGGAATCAAGGTTAAGCCCCTCGGATAAGAAAGCAGAAAACAATGATGACAGTTAAGGCTGGTCGCCTGCGGACAGCACGGTTCATGAGAAGTCGCTAGGTCCAAAATACGTCTTGCTTAAAACATTCGCATGATGGATCCAAATTGGCTTAAGAAATGTGATTGGGGCGGTGTCCGGCACAAATCTAAGAATGAGGAAATGGTTTCACTCTTTATCAATAATGATTATAGGGTGACGGATGACAGTGTGACAGTCGTAGTGGACACTAGCAACAAAATTAGTTCTTTCATCTGGCTGGAGTCATAGCATTCCGATCATCAGCTTGCAAGTTTTTGATTTATCGGGAATACCTCGCTAAACTAACCGCCCGAGGTCAAGTCTCCTTCAGTTTGTGAGGATACCTATTGACGAATCCTTTCTATCTAACTTTTTTTGAAAGATCGATTGTTTACTGGTGAGTAGTTAAGGCACTCTTCGAAACCTAGTTTTTCCTAACGTCAAAGGCCGCTCCTTATGTTCACTTTCCTACACTCTGCTTTCGCATCAGTCTTTATTTGATCACACTGAGAAAGAATTTTAATAGTTTTATTTACTTACGGATATTTGTTTTTACAATGCATGTGACTAGCGGAATAAACTATCATTAAATCTCTTAAATTCATCAAAACACTAAATCATGGCAGACGAAGGTTCAGCACCGATTCTTTGCAGCTGCAGGGACTACCATTCGAGGTCTTCTTTGCACAATTATAAGACAAGCCTTTTTCATTCTTCGGTGGGGTTAATTGACTAATCCCACCTTTTTATGGAAGATGAAAGGTAAGATAGCATCGATCTCTTCGTCAAAGCCCAGCATTTCTTCATTTCTACCGGAAACATGCATATTTATAGAAAAAACCATTTTATTCCTTTTAAATATTAACATACAAAATCATACATTCGTACAGGAGGACTTCGGCATGGATGGTCACCGTCCTTCCGGAGATCACTTGCTTTGGTTCTGTCTAATTGAGCGGCGTCGCCTTAGCAGCACCACATCTTGTGCCATGAACTCTGGTCTCGGAAACTGGTCTGCATCTGGCGCTGACAGGCTCCAATCGCAGCTCTGTCAAGTTATAGCACCTCTTTGTCCAGCCACTCGGGTCCGATGGTTAGCCGGTCTGACTACCGGCATCAGATCCGTATGTGGACATTCTGGCCTTGTGCAACCCGCCTCGGTATTGACCTTTACTTCAACTACGTCAGCCAGTGCCGTTTCTATGTCAAATGCATGCCTCACGGTTACTGGTTCTATGCACCAATACACGCACCACCAACTGGGCGGAGCTGCTGGATTCGAATCCATCTCTGAAACGAATCCTCTCAATGCTGGTGAAATCGATTTTGTTGGTACGACGGTTTCAATGAAGGGGTCGGCTGGAGATTTTGGACCCCCGGGCCTATATCACTCCAACATTTTTGACTCAGGTATCTTTTCAGTCCATATGCCTGCTTCACAAGTTTAAAATATCATAGACCCATTTAGACAATTGAATGCCGTCGCGAATGATGATTCATATTCAAGGCGGTATTATTAGCTTTTTACGAACTCTGACTAATATTAATTGCAAAAACTTCATTCATAAGCTATCAGTGACCCGCTCTTTTTGTTTAATGCTTATTGATATGTAGACATTGCTAAAGCTGGTGCATATAGAAAAGATAGCCACAAAAGAGCATTGTTTGATGGTATTAAATAGTAGTACCCAAATGAGAACGATGATGACCTAGTTGAGTCGATAATATTCCTTTTTTATATAGCGTATAGGCTAGGCGTATGAAGAATGCTCAAGACTAGCATGACTGGCATACTTCATATATTTGTTGACCATGTCTAGGCTACGCTTTGCGTGCAGGGTTGAAAAAATGATGCTGATGCTCAGACTTGATACTGGCATCTAGACATTCGAAATACACGCATGTGTTCAATTCAACTCAAAACTCAACGAGAAATACCATCAAAATTCTGTATCCACCATACTCTCCTTCGGAAAAAGGCATGGGAAGAGTGCAGGGTCGACGTACTCGCATTGTACACTATTTTTCTACTGGTCATTCTGAAAATTGATTTAGTTGGTATATTTTTATAGCGCTTTGTTGGACTTGTTCGATTAAGCATCGCATCTCTTTATTAACCCCACTTATATGGCACATCCACTTATTCACGCAATTATGTGCTCTCGTTTCCTCCAATGTCTCATAAGAGTGTGTGGCTGCAAGTCGGTTTAGTGAAATGTAATCATCGCTGCCAGATATCATTTGCAGGTTTCCTGTCATATATTCTGCCTCCCCTTTTTTTCCTACCGCCTTGTCAGTTGGTCGCTGTTAAACATCAAAATCACTTAGAGGAACTCACCTAGTCCGGAGTTCATTGTATGCATCTTCATTTCTAGAGTAGGACCGTGGACGTGGTACATTCCCAGACGTTTCACCGGTATCGTCAGTTAGTCTCGTAATTCGTAGCACTAGGCGTTCCTGTGTCTGTTGACTGGTATCACCTATGGTCAAGCATGTAACCAGTCGCCTTCCGTTCAGACAGATGCGAAAAACACAAAACTCATACTTTCACGCACTATTGACCTATATCTGGCCCACACATACCTTTAGCCTTTAATCGAAGGTATAATGACCAAGATGGTGTGGCCTTTTGTGTGGTCGCAGTCTCCTTTCGTTGAATAGAAGTTGTTTGAC